TCTCCAAGGACTCTGCGAGAACTGTGCGCTAGTCCTGTACCGCCAGATGGCCCCCCTCTTAGGTATTCAGACAAGACAGTGAAGCAACAGTCAAGGAGTCACCGCCCGCCACTAAACACATGAGCAGAGACACAGGGCGGGGCTGCTGGGAAGATGTCATCATTCAACCGGGTGCGTTTCAACTGCAGTGTGACGAGGTGAAATCAGCTGGGATATTCAATACAATAATGATACAGAGAGACTGAGAAAAGGGATGTCAGAAGTGCTGAGACCCACATACTAACCGATACTGAAACTAGGATTTAAACTAGATTCGGACAACGTATCAATACTTTAAAGATACACTCTGTAACTAATTTCTTTTAGTGTATATCATTGCGCTGCTTGGAATGTTCCATAGTATGACATTAAATCTACCTTACATGTGGTTTCATAGCTCAGAATACCTAGAAAAACAGGTATCGTAACTGTTGCCTCTCCATAGATCTGACTTGTAACTTGGTCTGGTTTGGTCTCCATGAAGATAGACAGGTTTAATGCCATACTGTGAAACATTCCAAACAAAGCAATAACATCTCCATGAAGAAAAGCATTTGACAAACCCTCCACCAGAAAAGATACACCTCTAAGAATGGCATAAAAATTGGATCTTTCCTGAACAGTTCTAGAAATATCTTGATCTATATTAACACTAGTATAAAACCGAATAGAAATATTAAAGGAACTACAACTATTTTCTGCTTGTGTCAGTATTGAGCCTTTCCCTCGGTAGATGTAGCAATTATCAGTTCACAAAGGGTGTAATTTTGTAGGTAAAGATTACCCAATGGAAAAGTCAATAGGACATAAATGATGAGTGAAAATACTATGTTGGAGTCCAAGTTTAAAACATAATTGTACACCCCTGGCTGATTGGCAGGTTTTTACATTAGATATCTTTCATCTCTTTAACCAGCTTTACTGTAACTGGAGTAGTCAATGTGAGTAAGTGTCTTGCCCAAGGACATAAGAGTATGTACAATGGGTTAGTGTAGTCACAATGCTAAAAAAAATGTAAATCCGATCCAAAACTATTCAGAAAAGGTCCAACTTTTTCCTTTTATGTGATTACTTATTGAAGTGAGTATATAGTTCTAGTATTATTTTTAATATTGGTTAGTATCCAGATGATAGTAACTTTGTGTGAGCTTCCACAAGCACCCATATACTTAAGTAATCATTAAAGAAGTAAAGAAAAATGCATACTAGTATTTGTAAATGCTATACTTGCCAACTGTATCTGTTCTAGTAATTCCATTTCAATATCTTCCACTCAAAGCCACATGGTAAATGAGGTCTCACCACTGCACATGAAAGTAATCCACAGCCAACTAAAATTGTAGAAATTAAATCAGTTGTTTAGGAACAGAAGGAGACCATAATCCTGATTTTGTATGGCTACAACTCAACAATTTGATATCTGGCTTCTTGTTAATATGGCCCACTTAGGCTATCTTAGATTTTAACTACTAATAATTCTCAACCTTGCTCAGCTTTTTTGAATCAGGAAAAAAATCAAACAGTTACTGAATATGCAACTATTAAAACTAGTATGGAAACTAGATACTTATTTGAACAGGTATTGATGCAAAAAAAGTCACATTCAGAGGACAAAAATGAACATTTCCTGAATAGCTTTAGTATAAAACCTCATAGACTAGTATACGCCGCTATGGAGCCTACCTGGACGGAGGGATTACCCAGATATACAACCACATGGTAATATAAAAGAGAGTACTACGATTAAAAGTTGAAAAATCTGTTGTCTAAATAAAGAGTGTTTTCTGTTATCATTCAGTATCGAGTCTAATCCTGGGTATTGTGACAACAGAAGTATAACAACACAATCTATAATGTATAGTGTATCAGACTGAAGTAAAAAGTCTAACGTTAAATGAATCCCTATGAGCAGCCATGCACATTACACATGGATGCACATGCCATGACATCTGGACAAACTGTGCTGTAGTATGTCACTACCAATTATCTGTTCTTTTTCCTGTTGGCTTGTCTTTACTGCACATGGGCTCCTATGGCTTTTCTGGCCAAGTCACCCATCCTTGTGCCCTATATTCCTCGTCTCCTAGTCCCAAACCACAACTCCTGTTTACTGCCACTGCGTCCCTAGTGCCTTGTCCCATTTCCCATAATCCTTTGCCCCTGTTCCAAGAAGCCATGTACGCCTTTTGTCCTCCTCACCTGCTCCCACCACGCCATTCTTCAGCTATTGCCAACTCAGTTATTTTTGCTTGCCTTTTCAGTCTTATTTTCTCAAGTTCTCCAAATCCCCTCCATTTTCTTCCTTTGCAATTTCCTGACAGTCTTTTTGATAACAGGTTAACGCCGGGAGCTCGACCTCATTAAGGATGGAAAACAGTGGAAACTATGCTTCTTTGGGCTGCGTGGCTCAGCTTGCACATGGTCCTTCATCACGGCACTGTCAGATTCTTTGCTCAGTGCAGGTCTTGTCTGGGCAGGAGAGTCGCTGTCTTGCTTAAGGCTCAAGGGGGAAGCTTGTCTGCTCGTTCCAATAACTTTTCATTTTGCTTTATCTCCGGCGGGCTGCCCTACGCCTGGCCATGTGCACTTTCACTCGGCCTGATACACAAGTGAGAAAGGGGCCAGTTTGTTCATCTCTGCTTATTTACTGAAAGCAGTATAGTACAAAATCAATCCATGAATTTGGTCCTGAGAAATAGCCTTAGATACAAAACTACAGATTTTTCATATATTTATCATGGTAGGAGTCTGCTATGAAGTTATGTTTTGTGCCATTGTTGAGATGACCTTCAGATGCTTGTTAAAATGTTGTGTTTATTTACAATGTTTCATGTTATGTAAGTGTCCTTGTTTAAATAACATTTCAGATATAGTCGTGGTTAAACATTTCAGATTGTTCTAGTCAATTAATGTGTATATAGGAGCCATAAAAAGAGCCAAAGCCTCTAGAAAAGTTGCATGGTAATTAAACATCATCTACTGAAAGATCCTAACGTGCAAGATATTACAATCACCACAGTTTATCCTTGTATAACAACTAAGGTATCAGCCAAGTCTCTCAAATCCGTGTTTCTGGGGGTTTGTATCTAACAATAACTACATCCTCACAATGCTGTTCCAGGCTTTCAATCTCTGGTCCAAACCCCCCTACTGTGCCCACTCACAAACACTCTCCACGGCTCCCCCCTCTCGCCCCTCTCGCCCCCTCTGCTGCCTGTGGATGTGAAAACGAGCGCGCCTCCTGCCAGCCAGTCAGCCAGCAGCCTCATCCAGCACCACAGACATGGCAGATGACAGAGACAGGGGAGGAGAGCAAAAATACGCTATTTGGAGCGGGGATGTGGAAGATAGAAGCATATTGAGAAAACAACAGGAAAGAAGGAAAATAGTGCGTGTCCATCTTCAACAGTCAAAGAGAGAAAAAAAACAATACTAGTGGGAAACTTTCAACTAGCAACTGTGATCTTTTAAATTGTTTCAGAGACTACATTGTGTATCTTTCTAGGGGGGCTTGTCTTTGCAATGATATTATTGCTTTGTCTGGAATATTCCACAGTACAGTTTTAAACAAATCCATCTGCATTCATTCAATTAAAGTTATTTTTGTTGCTCAAAAATACCCTACATTCTCACTTTGACTGGGGTCACCTCTATATAGATGTGGCCTGTAATTTTGCTTGGTGGCGTCACAAGCTTGTTTTTATGGAAATGGCCAAGTCTAATTAGCCAGGCTGACGCCACATAGTGCCTCCGCTCAATTTCATTTATCTCCAGCGACTAAGTCAGGAATCGGAATACACTAGATGGTTTGCAAGAACCCTGGAAGTTGTAGACTGTGCACAGACCAACCAGCGAAGAGTCAAACTCAAGCGCCTGTCTGGGTCCCTTTTGTGGTACCGCACAACAGTAAACAAAGCGGTCAAGATGGATGTAGACGAAGCCATACATTGTGTGCTGGCAATAATTCCTGAGATCGAGGATTTAAAGCCGGAACAAAGAGAATGTTTGGTGAATTTTATCAAGGGGAAAGACGTTATTGCCCTTCTTCCTTCGCATTACATATGCATTACATACATCATAACCAAATAGCAGCGATTGGTTAAATAAAAAAAGCACCTGCCTATCATCAAGCGAATGAATCCTAATGCTGCGAGGTCAGACAGTTTCCACGAAGTGAAACCGGTGGATGAATCAGGCTAAAGTCTAATACCATACTGTGGCAAATTCCAGGTAAAGCAGTAGAAAACAGACCCTCCACCTGAAAAATTACACAGTGCACCCACAGTGCAAGAGAAACCCATACAATAAAAGGTACACTTCTACTGTTTAAATTAAATGTATTTTTGTTTGTTCAAAATATGCTTAAATTTCTCCTCTAATTTACAGGTATTCATTGCTTTGAATTGAAAAATCAAAACTACTTAACTTTTTTGACCTCTTTCTATTCCTATTCCTTCACATAGCAAGAAAATAGTTAAGCTACTATTTAAGGAACAAAACACCTGTGCAATAAAAATCTCTGCAGTGGAGTGATAGGAAACCAATTTGAAACATTTATTATAAGTTATGAGTGTGCCCTCTGACCCCTCTATCTATAGGAAGCACTTATATAAATCCCATAATAGTCACTGATTTCATATCGACATTTCTGAACCACTTTGGACGTTTCAGTGACCAAGCAATTTGATTCATTCATGCTGCAATGGGTTTTCATCACTGCTAAATAGAGGTCTGGAGATCTGACATGAATGGACACTTGATTATGTATAATAAGGATTGGTTCAAATACATGTAAGAATAAAAATAAAACATAAAAAATACAGATTGCAAAGTACTGATGAGCTAAAAATGCCGTAGTGATGTCGTCAGGAGAAACCAGTGGAGCTAGCTGGTGGAAGTCCACTTGAATGATAGATTTGGCTGCAGGCCCTTTGCCGGTTGCTTCATAACGCGGTACTCACCTCGGATGATTGACAGCTTGGCGTTGACGGTGATTTCGCCCTCGCTGTTCTCAGCCACACATTCGTAGATGTTCTCGTCACGCGGCGCCCGCAGAGGCTGGATTCTCAACACGGCACCGGCTCCCTCGTCAAACTCTATGGTCTATGGAAAAAAAACAATGCAAGAAATGTGAAGTTTTACTGTACTTAAAATATATATCTAGTATACAGTAAATCAGTGGGAAATTATTGTAAAAAAAAATTAAAAAGTTATTATTTTAGTATTGAGTTTAACAAAACAAATATCATCGTATTAATTTTATGCATTGTTTAGCCTTATTTTAAACAGTTTTTATTTTTAAGCTGTTTTTTGTTTTAAAGGTGCATTTTGTAACTTTTCTGGTGGAGGGTCTGCCATTTGCTTGTCTCCATGGTGATGTTATTGCTTTGCCTGTGTTGTTCTCACAGTATGGCTGACAAATATATCTTAAACTTATTTAATTACAGTTTTTTTTTTTTTATTTTATTTCTCAATCTGAATTTCTGAGTCTTAAAACAAACATTATTTCGGTGATGGGCTCCACTTCTCCACAGATCTGATCAGTAACTTGGCCTGGTGATGTGGCCTGCTTGTCTCCATGGAGGTAGTTAAATGAAATGAGAGCAAAATGTAAAAAATACTGCTTGGTTTAACAATTTAACTTCAAGATATCTTTTTACTTTTTATGATATAATAGTAGCTCCATACTGTGTTATTTTTATGATGCTGTTCTAATGTCGGCACTAACAATTAAATGGCTGCTTCTGTGCCTTTATTTACCGTATAGTACAAACATTATCCCCTGAATACCATGCCTTTACAACAGTTATTTTCCTGCACTACACCTCTGCTGCCATATCTGGGTGATGCATTGGCTTTTTCTATGTTTCATCTTGTTTTTATCAGTAATTATGCCCTTTGTTCTCTACAGAGCCCTTTGTTGTGAACCTTGTTGCGAGGGCTTTCTTATAAACAAAACGAGTCTTGCCTCAGAAGTGGGCACATGGGCTGAATGCTGAGCAGGGCTGCGCCGGACTGAGAGCACCACAGCTAATCATTACATTTAAGCACACAGATAATAATGCTCTTTACGTTCAACTGGTCCTAGGGCTAGAATTTCAAACAACACAAACCGGATGCCCACTTGAACTAAAATGTCCGAGTTTAAGGGTATATTTATTTAGTGATACAGTCATTTCATTTTCCCATAGTAACCAGGGCAACGCTTCTCCTATAGTAAAGTCCATTTTGATACTGCAGTCACTCTATCAAGGCTTGGGACTGACACAGGTGCTCTGTTGTGACTCCTTGTGGCTGAATTGCGTAGCATTTTTTGGTGAAGGTCAATTACATAGCCTACTGTATATTGGTGGTTTTCATATTCTAGATTACAGTGTACGTATGTTGTACAAACACATGAGGGGCAAGACACGTTTTTTCCAATTGATTACATAGTACTTCGTAGTCAAAAATCCAAAAGGTAAGTTCACAAATGTTGAACACGGCGATTGCTATTATTGACTGGACCCAAGAACACTGTATTGCAAAAAGTCAGCATTTTTATATTAATTTCTGCTGCCCTGTATCTGTATAAAATAATATTGGTATAGGCTGATATAATGTTGTGATGTCATCTGAAATCCAGCAATTAGTCACACATTATGTTAGTATTTGTACCTGATTATAATTATAATTAATGAAGAAGGCTTGTTGGATTGGGAGACACAATAAAAAAAATAAGAGCCCCAAAGTGCTTCACCAAGTATTATGATCTTAGGTGGACAATGATACTGTATTTAATATTTTATCCATTTTAAACAGAATATTTCATTCTTGGTCAGTCTGCTCACAAACCCTGACTTTGATCTGCTAAGAGCACAGAGCAACAGAAGGATCACCCGTGTGTTCTGTCCTCTCAAAAAGTGACTTTGGAGATACAAGTGCAAGTCTGGAGTGGCCCCCGCTGCTTCCAGTCTCAGGGCTGTGCTGCTAATTAGACTAAAACACTGTGGAGCGCAGCATCATGATCAATATCAAAGCAGCTGTCTAGAGGCTAGCGCAGGGGAGAAGCGCGTAACTACTTCAAAAAAGTCCCCTCACTAATTTTTATTTTGGTTTAAATGGAGGAAAGAGAGCGTCCGTTCTGGCAGGATTCTTTCCGCCCTTGGCTTTGTTTCTCACTTAGCATGCAGCAGTAAAAAGTGTACAAACACAGCCTGTCTTTTTTATTTTGCCCTCTGTTGGGATGCGACTTGTCCCCCGGCGCTGTTGTCACTTCCACTGTTTGTGCTTTCTTAGCCCCCTTGCTTTTAGTTGTCTACCCACTGCGCTGTGTGCCAGTGCATTCATGTCTATCTCACAGAGCAGTTGTGTGGTAGTTAATGAAAGCAACTTTTTAATTAAGAGACACTGAGCATCAATCAAGACTTTTGGAGATGCCATCTGGGACGCCTGCCGAGAACTCCACAACAAACATCATGAGAAGGCTCATTCTCACAGGCTGAATGATGTGCTTGTATGAACGAAGAATGTAACAGCGCCGAGTTAGTCAAGAGTTCAGAGGAGCGGATAAATGGGTGGATGCTTTTTGGATTCAAATTAGTTCAAATTAAATTTAAAAGAGTGAATACCAGCTGTAACAAGACTACTTTTGAATGTAACAGAATACTGCACTGTATGATTTTATGAACATTCATTTGGGGGACAAAAGGCAATGCTTCTGTACTGATTGTATTTTCATAATAATAATAAAATAAAAAAAAAACACACACAATATTTCATGTATATTGAGTCGTGTTCACACTTGCACCAACACATTTGGGGCAAAACAGGGACTAAATCTGGACTAGACCAGGACTTAACCAGGACTGGAAAAAGACCAAATCAAATAATGAATATCATGATTGAACTGGGCTCATACCCTGAACTGACCTGAAACAAAACCAAATCAAGTCCAGCTTTATTTCCATAACACATTTAAAGAAATTCACAGTTTGCCTAAGTGCTGCTGAACAGACTATAATGGAACAATCACTAAAAAGTTTCTCAAGTATAATACTATTTTAGCCTGAAAATGTTACAGCTATACCTAATGTCTTCTCCAAACTCACCTCTATGCGTTGAGAGTTGACTTTTTTGCCCTTCTTGTTCCAGCTCACTCTGGGCTTGGGGTCGCCCGTCGCTTGGCACACGAAGGAGACCACTCCCCCTGAGACGCCAATCTGGTCAACAGGAACTTTAGTGAAGCGAGGTGGTGCTGAGGAAAAAGAGAAAGAAGAAAAAAGAAAAAAAAACGACATTAGCCGCAAGATGAATGCACAGAGCCAAGTCAGCCTCTTCTCTGGCCGAATTAAAGGGTGTAATTACATTTCTGAAAGGACAGCCCTTTTCGAACAGCCGCATCCACACAACATTCTCGTGCAGCTTTAGAATGTCACACAATAGCGCGCTAACTCATCTCACGCCTTTAATCTTCTGCTATAACTCATTCTCGCTACTCCGCCAAGCTTCGCCATTTGACAGTTCACCAGCAAACCAAATAAACAACCAGAAAGTCATTGGAGATACCGAGGACTGGCAGACAATTAAATGGACTGGTGAATACATGCGAAAGATTTGAAACTTGGCAATAACTGCGACTACAAAGCACTGAGCATCGAAAAGAAAAGTTATTATCAACTTTTGTACGGACTGGTGTGGATTCACAGCTAGCTACCATCTGACGCACAGCCCAGTTAACAATCATTATCACAATAGCGGAGTTTTTGTTCACAAATTGGCTGTCTAAAATAGCTTTTCAGGTGTTATAGTCATTTAAAATTGGAATAGGCATTGCTACTTTTTCATAGTGCAACTGAGCCAAGCACTTTCTTCGTATCCTATATATTTCTTAGCAATGGAAGACAACAACCATGAGCGAGGGTCTCCTGAGCATCTTGTTAAATGCGAATCATACAGATATGTGAGCATGATCAAACGGCCAGTGCATTCCGTCAAATGAATAATTAAGGAAGCATCGGCCTACACCGGTCTCCAGGCACAGCTAAACACATATGTAAGAGACTTCCTGCATTCATTATCTGAGTGGGTACTTTACAGCGAGCAGGAGAAATACCTGGAGACACAGGGACATAAAATTAAAAGGCTCTCTGAAATGCCTCAGGAGCGGAACAGAGCAACGCAACACGCAAAGTTCATTTTCAGTGGTCTGGATGACAATGTTTTAAACAAAGTAAAAATCATGAAGTATGTAATGATTTAACGTTAAAAAACAATCATACATCATATCAGCTCTAAGAACAATAAAACATAAAGCTAAATAAAATATAAGACGGAACTTAAAGGTGCACTGTGTAACTTTTTGGTTGGGTGTCCATCATCTGCTTGTTTCTATGGATATGGCATTGCTCTGCCTGGAATGTTCCACAGTATGACATTAAACAGCTCTACCTTACTTTTATTGAACTACAGGTAGTTTATATCTTAAAAATACCTAGAAAAACAGGCATTCTGACTTGGAGCTCCACAGATCTGACCTGTAACTTGTTCTGGCTTGATCTCCATAAAAATAGGACGGTTTAATACCACTCTGTGAAACATTCCAGACAAAGCAATAACATTTTCATGAAGAAAAGCATTTGACAGAGAAGTTTCACAATGCACTTTTAAAACTACTTGTGGTGCTGTTTTGAATGCTAAGCTGAATATAATGTTACCCTTTTAAAAATATAGATTCACATTTTTCTGATATTCATCGGTTACTGAATCACTGCAATTTATTCTTATTTCCTTTAAAATCACCTGCCTCTGTGTGAAACCCCTTATATGTGTTGGGTGACAGGTTCTAGATAGCTTCACTTAATAACACTCCTTTGTGAGAATAATACAATCTCCTCTTCTGGCACAACTTTCAATTGTATTTTGACATTAGACACCAGTGCTTTTAACACAGTGCTGTTCCCCTGACCTTTGTATGTCTGCAGAGGGACATATAGACTGGGGCTGGTGGCAGTACTTCTTTGATTAGATTTCCCCTGGCTGGTTTGACATTTTGCTTCTTTACATTCTCATTCACTTTTGTGTGGGAGTTATAATAAAGAATTAAATAAACTATAACACAACTCTACCGATTGAGAATGTCTATCAGGTTTAAACATCCTGACATAGTATCACCACAGTATTTCTAAGATCAAGAAGTTAACTAAAGTAGTGTGGTATAAGGACAGATTAAAATTAGGTGCCAAATGGAGGGTGAAATAAAATATCTGCTCTGATGCAGATTCCAACTATATTACTTTATTGTAGTTACGTATTAATATAGCAGCAGTATAGCAATTTATAGGCATTTAGGGTGCGTTCACACTTGTCCTTGTTCTTGGCTTAAGCTCAGTATGGTCCTGATATAAATTTGGTTTGGTCCTGGTCTAGTAATGGCTTAGTTCTAGAATTAATCTCTCTTAAGTCCCAATTTTGATGCAGTGTTTGTGTCAGTCTGAACATATCCTTCGACTGTTTGTCAAGAAAATAAATTATTGTCAACAAATGATTATTAATGTGTTCTTTAATGTTTATTATCCCTTCATTAAGTGCAAATCATTTGGTTTATTTCAATAAAAAATGGCATAGATAGTACGTTAAGTTGAATTGACCATATTCACCCAGCAGATAACGTAAACAATGTAGGTATAACTTGGGAAACAATACGACACTAACGCACAAACCAAAGAACTGAAGTGTGCGGGTGTGTGCCACGTCATATAAGATAACACCCTTGACTGTAAGCCTGAAAATGTCTAATACAGTGCAATTACCCCAAGTTTGCTGTGTGTGATTGTATGAACTATAATTAACCTTTTATTCAATTTTCTTGAGCATTGCGCCTCTGGGCCGCAGCTGCCAGCTACAGTTAATGTTAAACCTGCTTTTTTGCTTGAATTTGAACCTTGCCAAGTAGCTGGTAATTGCACCTTAGATGAGGTTGAATGGTGTCAGCACTTAAGCTGTTTAGCCTTTTTTCAAGTAATGAGTGATGGCACGGACCACACCATAAATTTAACAGATAGTGAAGGTGCATGCTGGGTCACAGATTCATCATCATTCAAAGGCTATTGTTGATGAGTACCTTCAGGGAAATCATCAATGGAAATGTCTGTGTGACTTTAAAAGGGCAAAAACATATTGTAATAAAACATTAGAACTTTCAGAATCCGCCTAAAGCTTAAAAACCCAATTTACTATCACAAAAATGATAGGCCTAGTTGATACTGAAATACTAATTTAATGTAATCCATTATCCGTAATAAAAAGTCCTAGCTAGGGATGTCATAATTATGATATTTATGAGCAAAAACCTTCACAAACTAACAATTACAATAACCAGTGCTATGACCACACAACAGTAGAATCCTCAAGTTCCTAGTTTATCAGTTATGTGACCAGTTTTATTAAATTATCATTTCTGAATCAAGTAAATGGTAAATAGTCACATTTTTATACAGCACTTTTCCACCTTCAAGTCACTCAAAGCACTTTACAACAAGGAACCATTCACTGACACACACATTCATACATCAATGTTACAAGTCACTGGGGGAAAGGTGGTTATGTGTCTTGCCCAAAGACACAACGACAGCATTAGAGATGTAACAATAACCGAAATATCGTGATATTATATTGTAAGTTCTCACAATAATATCATGGACCATCACAATATATCGAAATACAAGTCTCTTTGCTTAAATTAAGAGTTATGCTCATGATCCTTTGCTCCATTTCAGTGCAGACTACAAGAACAAATAACAGCACTTTTAAGTCTTAGTTCTTTGGATTAAGTCATGTCAACACAGTTCAAGAGGAAAATGTAGAATATTAATAGTTTTGCTAGCCTCCACAAAATATCGCAATAAATATTGTACCATGAGATGTATATCGTGAAAATATCGTACCGAGATATGGATATTGTTACATCCTTGACCACTATATTGTGAGCTTTCCCACGATAACGCAATAAATATTGTACCTTGAGGTTCATACCATAACAATATCATATCGTGAGACTTGGATAATGTTACACCCTTAGACAACATTCATCTGTGGGAACTAGAATCGCACCACCAACCTATGGGTCAGTGGATCTGACCACGCAACCACTGATGTTTTATGTCGATAGCGGGATTCAAACCATCACCCTTCAGATCAGTGAACTATCGCTCTACAAACTGAGCTACTGCCGTGTGTATTAAGTTATTAGATCTCAAAGTTTTAGGTTTTAGTCTAATAAATTACTTAATTCATTTAGCTTAATTTAGAATTTTTAGATCTTATTGAATTATCTTGACATCTCCAGTACCACCATTTATTTAAAAAAAAGAAGAAGAAGACTATGTTAGTTTTCTTTTAAGGTCACCATAAAAAATAAAAAAAACTTTCCACTGTCCTTCCCTATACTCTATGTATGCTAACGGTAGCACAAAACTTAAAGGCTTTGATTCCCAGCTGTGCCGCCTCTTCTAAAAATGTCCACTCGTCTTTTGCTGTAAGGAAGGTTGTACGAAGGAAAGTCTCTCCTGGTTCTGTGTGCGTTTATTTTGACCAAAAATGACATTGAGAGGACGCTACACTCGCAGTGACCATTTTGTACCCTGGTATTCCCCATAGCTTTCCTCAGATGGACATAGGTACTACTGGCCAGATAAGCTCATACAAGTCCCCTCTTTATCAGCTCTGCGGGGAGGGGGTCCAAAGCTAAAATTACCAGCAATGGGAGAGCAGGGCTATCTTCAAGTCGCTCAGAATAGATCCGCGCAAACATGAATGACCACTGAGAGAAACATAACGCTACGCCGCGCACACCGATGTTTGTTTTTGCTAATACGCTAACCACCTGCTGGCGTCTGTACCCCTGCTTTACCGCGATAACATGGCTCCGAGCGCACCCCACTCCGCCGCGCAAAGTGGGAGGTGGAAATACGAGACGGTTCCATTTGCAGAATTGTACCGTTGTTGTGTGCCCATAGGAGAAAGGAGGGGGGCGCTAGCTTTATGACTAATACGGTAATTGATGGGCGAAAAGCTTCTAGGGTCATAAATAGGAGCCATTATGTGCTGAATTAGCAAAGTGGGAGACAAAATGACGCACGGCTATTCTGTGATTTGGAGAGAAAAGTAGAGAATAGGGAAAAGGGCACTTGTTATCCATCTTGCCGCAGATACCTTTTTTGTATCCTTTAAAGCACACAGAAAAGATTTTTTCAATAG